AGAAATTTTTTCACCAAGTATGCCTCTTCAAACTTGTCTCCAAACGTACGTATTTTATTAACAACTTCTGTCAACCTTGCTGCATAATCATCAATAGTCTCGGACTCCTTCATATTCATAATTTCAAACTCAATCTTCAGAGTTTGGATCTTTGCCTCCTTTACACGTTCAGCACCGAGATGAATAGTTTTTAGTGTCTGCCATGCTTCTTTTGCTGTCTCTTTCTCTGCTAACAAAAACAACATCTCTTCAGGGATTGCTTGATAGATGGCTGCTAAGGCCATTTGATCCTTCCTTTCATCAAGGCTATCCAGAGACTCAGTTGATTCGATTGCGTCCCACACCCCTTGAGCACGCAAATAGACCTTCATCTTCATAGCCCATGCTGAGTAGTTGGTTCTCGATAACGTCGGGTATTGGAGTGTTACCAGACTTTCCTTTGTTGCAAACTTCGACGACTCTCCTCTCTCTCCAGTGTTGTTATTATTTCTCGGCATGATCTTTGGCATGTAACTTGGCTCTGATACCAAATGTTAGAAAACACTCATACAACTGAGAGAGGCAATAAACCAACATACTATTATTCAACTGGTTACAGAATACATATATAGACAGAATAGCCACCTTAACCGTTAGTAACCACCCTTAACCGCTAGTAACCACCTTTAACCGCTACTAACTACCCTTAACTGACATACATTGAAATACAAACAGTAAATTAGATTAATTACGGTTAATACAAGATTAAATAAACTAACAATGGTATGATATCAGAATTACACCAACTTGCAGCCTTCATTTTCAATAGCTGACAAAGAAAGCATAAAGGGGCGACAAACCTGAACAGACAGTGTTGTTAGAAGAATGTTTTAGAGCCCTAAAAATGGAGGGAATTAGAACCAATTATGATGTATTCTATTATAAAGTTCGAAACTTTAAGCCAACCGTGTACGCTTCCACTTTTGTAGACTGTTTCTTTTTTGTGTTTGAATAATCGAATGTCAACTATATTCAAATTGCTTGAAAGTTTCAATCAACGCAGTTAAACCCCATTCCAACATGTTTTACCGTTATTGTCACGTGGACCGAAAATGTATAATCTTCTTCCAAGTTTGACAACAAAAGTACATATTCCATTCAATTTTGTGATGTTCCACATTAGTTTGGGAGGAGAACGAAACATTTTTTAGAAGGTGTAGAAACTCTCCTTAGCATACCTATTTTAAAAACCTTGAGTGAAAGCCCGAAAGAGAAAGCCTAAAGAGGATAATATCTACTAGTAGTGGACTTGATTGAGTCGTTGTAAATGGTATCAGAGCCAAACATTGGGCGATGTGCCAACGAGGAGGTTGAGTCTTAGAGGGGGTGGACACGAGGCGGTGTGCCAGCAAGGTCACTGGACCCTGAAGAAGGGTGGATTGGGAGGTCCCACATCGATTGGAGAAGGGAACGAGTACCAGTAAGGACACCAGGTCTCAAAAGGGGTGAATGTGAGATCCCACATCGGTTAGGGAAAAGAACGAAACATTCTTTATAAGAGAAAGTCTGAAACGAAAAGTCAAAAGAGGACAATATCTATTCGTGGGGTTGAGTCGTTACAACTAACGTCAGGAAATGGTTTGAATGACGTTGAGGAAGGAGATCCATTCCGATGTCTTTGACCCATTATTCCTCCCATTTCAATTCAAAGTATACAAATTTTGAAGTTGGCTACGAAATGGGCATTTGAAAATGAATCCGCCATCTTCCTTCACTATATAAACCAAATCAAATCACACATCGTCTTACCAATTCATTGATCGTTCATTTCACCTTCCTTTGCAATTAATGGCCGACAGACAACCCTATTTGAACACCAACTTCTATGGCCCAGCCGTGCCTCCTTCGACAAAAGCCCACCGCAGCCGCCGCATCTTATGCACCATTCTGAAGGTGGCAATTAGTTTCATCGTGGGGGTTGGTATTCTATTGTTGATATTAGGGTTTGTGTACAGTCCAACAAAGCTGGAGTTCAACGTGAGCAGCGCCGAACTCACCCAATTCAACTTCACCATCAATAGAAACTTCACTACCAATGCAAACATCAGAGTTGGCAATCCACTCTCTTACAAATTGGGTCTCAACGTAACCATCAGAAACCCCAACAAGCGGTACCGTGTCTACTACGACATCAACCAAATGGGTGTGGTTTATAAGAATCAAAGGCTTGAGACACAGTGGCTGCCAGCGTTCGCCCAAGGAACAAAGAGCACGGTGGTCCTCAACTCCAGGAAGTTCGAGGGTCAGCAGTTGGTGCTTCTTGGCGGCGATGAATTTGTTGAGTTTAACGCTGAGAAAAGCTCCGGCATTTACCCCATTGATGTCAAGTTCTTTTTCCGGTTGAGGATGAAGTCCGAAATTGAATCCCACGGTGTACTGTGGATTGAAGGTTCCTTTGATTAACGGTAAATCTCGGCGGCCTGGTGTAATGAGGATTCATGCTGCCACGGCTTGCGATTTCAAATTCTGATTCCTCGGGTGAAAGTTAAAATTACAAATGATATGGAAAGGAAAATATCTAGATATTTGCCTTATAATAAATGGTAACTACCCTTAACCATATGTGTTTACTAAAACCGAAGAAATGGCCTAATGAAACAAAAATCTTCCTTTCATTGCCATGGCTCTTGGCCTCATACTCTGTCCTAATAGCTGCTAAATTCGTGGGGGCCAAAACCTTTCTTACCATGCTTCATTGTTGCTCGAATTTGACTTAATTCCCTTGCCTTTAGCTAAAAATGAGAGTTTGCCGGTTTTGAAGTCCAAATCTATCATGAATCGAAGATGGGGTATACTACCTAATGTTGATGATTGTTGGGAGGGGAATCACACATCGACTAATGAAAGGGTTGATCATTGGTTTATGAGTAAGAAAAACTATCTCCATAGGTATAAGACTTTTTGAAAAAACTAGAAGCAAAACTAAGAAAGGTTATACTCAAAGTAGATAATATCATACCATTATAAAGAGTTGTGGTTCTTAACATTTAACATAATATCAGAGTCATGCCCTTAACTTAGCCATATCAATAGATTTTTTAAATATCAAACAAAAAAGTTGTGAGTCTTGAAAGTGTAGTCAAAACTGACTCATGTGTTAAAAAAAAGGTATCCTTTGTTCGAGGGCTCCAAAGAAGAAGTCAAGCCTCGATTAAGGGGAGGCTATTCCAGGGCTCCATATGAGCGTCAGGGGAGGCTCTATAGTGTACTTTGTTTAGAGAAGAGTCCCACATCGGTTAATTAAAGGGTTGATCGATTACAAGTTTATAGGTAAAAAAACACTATCTTCATTGGTATGACGTCTTTTGGGGAAACAAAAAATAAAGTCATGAGAACTTATGCTCAAAGTTTGATCATAAGCTTTTGGGGAATCACGGATCTCGACGCTAATATGATATTGTCCACTTTGATCATAAGCTCTTATGTTCGCTTTTGGTTTCCCGAAAGGTTTCGTACCAATAGAGATAATACTCGTTACTTGTAAATTCACAATCTTCCTCGTAATTAACCAATGTAAAACTATTCCTCTCAATAATCCTCAGTAGCCATTGGACGGGAACTAGATAAACCAACACATTGAATTCCCTAAACTTTGAGTAAACATCTGATCATATATGGATTAAATTCTTATATAAAAGTCAACGCCTTAAATTACTGGGTCAGCAACCATAAGAAAAAACAAAATCTTTGTCCTCTTTCCATTGTCGAAGGCCATTGGAAATTAATTCCCACGAACTCCAAACAATGTTTTCTCCCCTAAACTAAACGCCAATTTGGCAACTTCCCACTTCCTTTCTTATAAAAATCCCATCTTTTCTCTCATTTCAACCAATCCTCTGTAATTCAATTTCCTCTCTCTACAAACATGTCCGGCAAGCAACAAACCCACTCGAACGCCGTCACCTACCACCGCCCAGGCCACCACCACAACCGCTGTGGCTCCGGCTGCGGCTGCTTCACCACCTTTCTCAAGGTCCTCATCACCATCATCATCGTAATTGGCCTCGCCGTATTGATCTTATGGCTCATATTCCGTCCCAACAAAGTCAAATTCCACGTCACCGACGCTAAACTCACCCAATTCAACCTCACCGATAATCAGCTTCAATTCAACTTGGCTCTCAACATCACCGCCAGAAACCCCAACAACCGAATCGGAGTGTACTACGACACCATCGAAGCTGCCGCTGTTTACAAAGACCAACGGCTGCAGACCAAGTGGCTGCCCCCGTTCTACCAAGGCCACAAGACCACCGCCGTCCTCAGCCCGGAATTCTCCGGCCAGCAGCTCCTCCTCCTTTCCGGCCAGGGGCTGGCACAGTTCAACTCCGAGAAACTCGCCGGAGTTTACGATATCGACGTCGAGCTTAATCTTCGTATCAGGTTGAAATTCGGTGCCATAAGGATCGGGAAATTTAAGCCGAAGGTGAATTGTGAGTTAAAAGTTACGTTGAGCTCCGATGGAAGCTCAGCTCCGTCGTTGTTTCAGTCCACCGGCTGTGATATTGATTATTGGTAATTTGGTTGTTGGTCGTTGACTTGGTCTTTTGTTGGATTCATAAATTCATTGTATTTTTGTTGGTATTATTTTAATGTTTGATTGTATTTAATTTTGTCAATTGGTTATATTATATTGTGTGAAAATAAATTAGTATGGTCACCTTCTTCCGTCGGATTAATCACGACAATAACATAAAGGAGAGTGATAAACAATGTTATTATCTCAATTTTAACATTCAATATTGAAATGGTAGTTATAACAAATAATAGACGTTTTTATAAATTTGTGAGGCTGACGGCGATACGCAACGGGTCAAATCGAACAATATTTGTTAGCGGTGAGGTTGGTTCTCGTTACAAATGGTATTAGAGCTAGACACAAGGTAGTGCACCAGTGAGAATGGTGGCCTCCAAGGGGGTGGATTGTAAAATCCCACAATGGTTAGAGAGGAGAACGAATCATTCCTTATAAAGGTGTGAAAACCTCTCCCTAACAGACACGTTTAAAACCGTGAGGCTGATAACGATAAGTAATGAGCCTAAGTGGACAATATCTATTAGTGGTGGGCTTGAGTCAAGTTACGAATAGTATCAGAGTCAGATACTGGGCTGTATAGCGAGGACGTTGAGCACAAAGAGTGGATTGTAAGATCTCGCAATATCTATTAGCGGTAGACTTGAACTATTACAAATGGTATTAGAACCAGATATCGAGTAGTGTAGCGAGGACGCTAGGCCCCAAGGGTGGGTGGATTGTGAGATTCCATGTCGATTGAGAGGAGAACGAAGCATTTAGACGTGTGGAAATTAACAGGCTAAAGTGAACAATATTTACTAGCGGTGGACTTAAATTGTTATATAAATCATATGGCAAACGCTTAATATAACCTAATGTTTTAAATTTAAAAAAATCCATAGTTTTATAACAAAGGAAATCATTTCATTATCTAACAAACTACTAATTATCTATTACATTGCAACCAAATAAGAATCTTTGTGGACAAGAAGAAATATAAATGTCCCCCAATTTATGAAGTTATCGTAGTCTTATTGAATAATTTATGTGTCATGCATAACGTAACAAAGTAAAATGTTCATGACACGACGTGTCATAGTTGACTACGAGTTGTCATCTCTATAAATTTCATAATACAAAGAGCCTAGTATCATAACATGGGAATGTCATGGAAACTATTCAAATTAACATCTATAATTAAACATTGACTCACAACATAGTTAATTATTCAACATGCCACTTGATATTAGAATACAAAAATTCCTAGTTTTATAACATACAAAATGATTTAATTAAATCAACAACTAATGTCTAATAATATATGATTTGGTCAACAAAAACAAAAATCTTTGTACAAAACCCTCCAAGGTCACCAATGAACTCCACAACATTAATCTCTCAACCATGTCAAGAACAAAGAAATGCATGATCATATTCTTGATTATCATTTTGGTTTTAGTTCTTCTTTCATTGTTAATCGTCTGGCTCATCACCATGGCTAACAAGATCAAATTCCATGTGATCGACGCCGACCTCACCCAATTCAACTTCACCGACGACAAGCAACTCCTGTTTGACCTGACCGTGAACATGAAAGTCAAAAACCCTAATCGTGCGTTCGGAGTTTTTTTCGACCGAATCGAAGTGACCGTGTTGTATCAAGACATAAAGTTTAGTAACGCGTCGCTGTCGCCTTTCTACCAAGCCCAAGATGGTTCGAAGCTGCTGAAATTGAAGTTTGATGGTCAGCAATTGATGAACCTCAACGCTGAGCAGCTGGCTGTGTTTGGTCTGGAGAAGCTTGTTGAGACCTTCACCCTTAAGTTGGAGCTTCGCCTTCAGATAAGAGTGAATATTGATCTCATTAAGATCAAACTCAAGCCCAAGGTGCGTTGTGGCCTTAATCTTCCCTTGATTTCTCGTGGAAGAACGTTTCTACGGTTTCAGATTATCGGCTGCCATGTCGCTTATTGATTTACTGTCTCTAAGTTTTTAAAGTACGAGGTAAAACTGTCATTTTTAACCACTTCAATTTGTACCAATAATTACTAAGGAGTATGATGATTTTTTTAAAATATATGTTAAGAGTTATCAAAAACTCGATATTGTAGTAATTTTTTTGAATAATTTTTCGACTCATCCAATTGGACATAGATAATCTTTTATGAATATTTTATAATTGTTACGAAGATGTATTAAAAAAATGACTAAAGATTATTAATGTAGTAGTAATTAGTATTGAGTTGTAATAACGACTAAGTGACGTTACTAATTCAATTATTATTATTTTTACTTATATATTGTTTAATAATCGATGAAATATATTAAAATAATAAATAATAATCATTTCTATTCATGTCTGAAATATTAATAGATCGTGATATTTCAAAGTCATTATTAAATTATTTAATCAAATTTTTATGTTTTTACTTAGTTACTTTTTTTTAATCTAGGAGTTTATCTTATAGTCCCACATTTGATTAAATACTATAATGGCGTTTAAATAATTTATTGCAATAATGCCAAATAAGATATGTTTAAATAATTTATTTTTATTTTATAATTCAAATGAAAATGTTTAAATTGTCTTGTGCGCATTAAAATAATATTAATATCTTAATATCTAACCATTCATATAAGACAATCTAACATAAAATAATAGATTTAAAAGTATTTATAAATATAACACATAATAAATTTAAAAGTATTAGTTCCTTCGTTGTGAAAATTTTATTTTTACTAAAATTATCGTATTTGAATTAAGAATAAAAATTATAGTATATATTTAAACTTAAAATACAATTGATAAAATTTAAAATTTATAATCTAAATTGATGCAAATAATAGTCGATCATCTTGGTCTTCATATAACATCCATTATAAATGAACGACTAATTCAACCGTTTGTTGTATCCAAGGAGAAATTAAAAACAAAAAAAAAAATAAATAAATAAATAAAGAATTAAATTATTTAATACATTTCATAGCATATAATAGAAAAGGAGAAGGTTGGTTGTACATGGAATAATAAAAAAAGACTTCAAAAAGACATAGATTAAAGATAAAAAAAAAAAAGACTTTAAAAAATGATTTTTTTTTTAATTTTTAAAGAATTTGGCTAATAACCATTTTTTAAATAAATAGTTATATAAAATAGATTCTTAGATGTTATGGATAAGATAAATCAAATAAAATTTTTAGATTAATGTATAATTAATTACCTTAACAATATATATTAATATTTACCATAAGGTAAATCAATATCTCTAATAAATTATATGAATGTAACATTAAGATGAAGAACGTTAAATTCTAAAATAATAAAACAATAAACTATTTTAAATTATAAAATAAATTATGAATAAACCATAATAAACCATATGGAGCAGGCTTGGGTCGAAGTATAATTAGGGGCCCACAATATAGCCGTTTTGATTGTTAACTGCCACGCTGGCATATGAAAAAGGTTCCCTTAGAAAATGTTCACCTACACCTCCCCGCACCAGATTACAATTAATACCAGAAAAGATAAAAAAGATAACAAAAGAAGACGACACGAGACGTTAAACTTCTGGGTCTCGTCATGTGGGCCCCCTCCTATTTAACACGAAACGTAACTGACGTGGCAAAAACGGTCATGGAAATACAAGCCTAGTGGGCTGACACGTCGACCGAGAGTTGACCCGTAGTGTCAAACAATAATGACAAGAAATAGTGATACCGTCAAATGCACGTTGCAGATTCTCGTCAGTGGGTAATCTCAATAGCCAAAAACGAGCCGTCGGAAGAATCTTTTTGGACCGGGAAGTCACCGGCGTCACGAGTGGGGGACGGCGAGAAGAAGGGAGGAGAACCGCAGGGCGTATGAAACGGCGTCGTATCGAAATCCGGTTTAGAATCACACTCGCAAGATTCTATTCCTTCTCTCTCTTCTTCCTCTTCAACGATAGTGAAAAGCGCTCTGGACGGTCCGCACAGTACCCGCCACTTCTCCAATTCTTGGTCGACCGCCGCCGTCTCCGGCGACGCGGAATCATCGTAGACTTTGGACGCGATTTCTGTGGGTTCGATCCTGGTTTTGGTCCTCCAGCGGAAAAGGTAGATGCAATTTTGTTTGGGTTGGGTGGGGGTGGGGTGGTGGCGCGTGCGAGAGAAAAAGAAGAGGATTTGGGCGAGGAGGAGTAGGAAAGTGATGGCGAAGAGGGAGATGAGTGCGGTGGCGATCTTGTTCAGGCCGCCGTCCATGTCTTTAAGGGAATTACGGGTTAAGAAGAGAAGAGATGAGAAGAGAGATTTTGTGAGGGGAAAATGGAAATGGTGATTTAATTTTTGTTTTTAGTGTGTGAATTAATGGTGACGTGGAGTTGGGAGAGTGTGGGGTGGTTCGAATTTTGAAGTTGTTGAGCGGGTTATCAATCATGGTGCCTCCCAACGGGCTTCTTTTACGGAAACAAGTCTATTTTACTTTATAGGACGGGTAAGACCTTGGAAAGGTACATGACGACATTTGTCTTAGTAATAGCGACTCTCCACAATTGTTCGACACTTTAGCTACTTTTAACTACATCTTCGAAGTTCATAATTTTTTTGTTCGATATTTGAGGATTCTATTGATATGACTAAGTTTAAGGCATGGTTCTGATGCCATGTTAGGAATCACGACCCTCCACTGGTATGATATTGTCTATTTTGAGTATAAGATGACTCTACTTTGGGCTTCCCCAGAATGCCTCATACCAATAGAGATAGTGTTTCTCACCTATGATCTTCCACTAAATTAACCCCGGTGGGACTCACCCTCAATAATCCTCAACAATTTGTGAGATTTGGAGATGAGAACGAAACATTGCTTACTCACAAGTAAAAATCTCTCTTATAAAACGACAGCGATGTGTAACAAACTAATGATATTAGAGCAAGACACTAAACGGTGTACCAGCGATGATGCTGGATCTCCAAGGAATGGATGGTGAGATCTCAAGTTGAAACATTCTTTATAAGTGAGTGGAAACCTCTCCTTGGCTTGCTCGGCCTCCAACTGGTAGATTGTGAGATCCCACCTGATTGGAGAACATTTCATGAAAACCTCTCCCTATAGCGGGGATTTAAAACTGTGAGGCTGACGACGATACATATCGAACTAAAATGAGCGGTTACGGTTTATTTATCCTTTTCAAATGCTTATAAAACCCATTTAATCTTGTTGATAAATTTACGTAGGGGCCATTGTCTTCTTCTTAAATAAACTCTGAGTTTGTCTCCTTCACTGGATTGATGGCGTGTTCGAGACCACCACTTTGTCTGCCAGTGTTTGCATGGTTTTTGGTGTGTGAGGAGAGAATGAAGTTAGGTGAATTGTGGGTAGCGTTGTGTGAATGTAGGTGTAACAGAGTTAATCCACAAAAGCTAACAGCTCTTCCACAAATGGCTTCCATGCCCCAATCTCTCACCTTTCTTCATATTTGTTTTATGACTGACATGTGATTTTTTCTTGAAGAGAGTTTAGCCAAACTCACGTGTACACTCTTAACAAGTAGTAGAATAGAAGCATTCTATCTTAAGTATTGATTCCACCAAGATTGCTTATAAATTAAAGTGTTTTAAGTGAAGCAATTTATCAAATTGCAATAAGTTGGTAACCACGAAAATGTATGTTCATCTGAGTGCGTAAGATGTAACGACTCATGTCTAGGATTCTGAATATGAATTTGACACGTGTTGATTCCGACATTTTTCTACATTCTCTACGACATGTTACATTCACATCTTCTTAGCATGTTTTGTTCTCATTCACATGTGTTGGATGATGAAAATCTCACAGCTAAGCTAATTTAGGGAATGATCATGGGTTTATAAACAAAGAATACTCTCTCTATTGGTGTGAGGCCTTTTGGGGAAGCCCAAAGTAAAGCCATGAGAGCTTATGCTCAAAGTGGACAATATCATACCATTGTGGAGAGTCGTGTTTATTTAACAACATGCATCACCTAGGGAAAAAATTTAAGAGGTCCACTTGACATAGCTAAATAAGGTACACCTTGTTGGTATAAGGAGTGATTTACAATTTTTTTAATGTATTTTTAGTCTTCATATCTTCAAAATCGCTCCTATTCAGATGTGATCTTAATACATTCATGTAACTCCGGGAACAAGGAACAAGCTTACCTCATCTTCACGGGTAAATCTCAAAAGAAACATAGCTCATAATGGAATTATATATACATCAAAATTGAACAAAGACGACATTGTGGTGAATTCTTTTTACAAACCCTAATTATGAGAGACAGGTATGAGTTAGGTCAAAAACTCAACAACCAAAGCTCCCAAACATTAAAGGCTAGTTGGGCCATATCTGTTTTAAAAACGTGGTAGACCTGAAAAACATGAATGGACATGTTCTCTTATTAAAGTGAAAATGGCCCAAACCAGGGTCACTCTACATAGCCCCACCCTAATCCATGGCTGCTCCAAATATTTCAACCAACATGAATTCAATTGGGATTATAATTCTAACTATATGCATATGAACTCCACTTGCACTCCAAAGTATGTCCAAAATTTTGTCTCAAACAAGTGTATGGTTGAAGACAACGACCTAACAGACATCAAAAGCGTCACAATGTCCTAAAAAATCCATTGAAAGACAGCATTTCACATGAGGTTGGTTGGGTTATCTCTCTTTTTTGACCAAGCATCTACCATGGCGAAAACAGCAACTCCACATGAAAGAATCTCCTTCTCAATCGATGTTTCTTTCCTTGGATCCTGAGGGGAATGAAGAGAGTGACAATTCAAATTGTTAAAAGAAGAAAAAAAAAAAAAAAAGAAACTTGAGGGAATTGTTCATTGATTTTGGATATCCCTTACTTTGATGAAGGAATAATATTATGACACTCTTTCTTCACCCACACACATTCGTTAAAAGGGAATGGAGAGAGTGACGGTGTGGAAAACAACCATGGTGTTACTTACCCTTTACCTCTTTTTTTTTTTTTCTTAAAGTCTGCAAAAGGGATCAATTTGTGTTCAAACTTTGTCTCCATGTTTAAATCTTTTGTCTTTTGTAGATGCCCAACACAAATTTTACTTGCCTCAATTCTTCCTTTGGTGGGTCTCCCAATTTTGCAGCTTTTTCATTATCTACGTCTTTCTAAATCTTTGTACCCTTTTCTTTCTTCTTTTGTTTTCTTTAAGAAATGCTTAGGACAATGGAACTTGGATAACCAAGCCTATATGCACATTGTTTCTCCCATATACCTCTACAAAAAGTTGGTGAGGATTGCATCGCCTTTTAACTTGTTAGGAAGAGGTTTCTACACTCTTATAAGAAATGCACCGATTTGGGATCTCACAATCCACCCCCTTTGGGGACCAACATCCTCACAGCACACTGCTATCAGTCTCACGGTTTTTGTGAGATCCCATAGTGGTTGGATAGGAGAACAAAATATTCTTTATAAGGGAATAGAAACTTCTCTCTAGTAGACGCATTTCAAAAATCTTGAGGGGAATGCTAGCGATGGGCTTGTACTGTTACAGTGTTAAAATGCGTCTACTAGAGAGAAGTTTCTACATTCTTATAAGAAATGTTTCGTTCTCCTCTCCAATTAACGAGGGATTCGTTGAGGTAAAGATTCATGCAATAGTGCATGAAGAAGGAAAAGAGAGTTACCATGTGAAAACATTGGTCCCAACTTCTTATTTCTACATTATTGCGGGATAAAGATTCACAATATCTTACCTTTAATCACGACCTAAAATACCTTGTGGATCACAATTGAAGTGTTACATTTGAGGCCAAATTAGATGCTTGCCATAACTGAACCAAACATCAAATGAAACAAGATGAACAAAATGAACAAAATGAATCAATTTTAGTGCGTAACTTTTAAACATGATCAAAACAATTGGTTGAAGAGAACTTTGGAAGACGCTTTAAGGTACTTTTATGATCTTTTCATTAAGATAAGTGTCTTTCTTGATATATACGACTTAAAAATTAGCGGACAAGAATGGAGTTGTAAGTATTAGAATAGATAGGCTTGTGCACATAGGTGATATGCCTAAAGGTTAGGCCAAATTCCAAATAAATCAATGAAAAGGGGGAAAAGGTAAAAAGGAAAAAAGAAAAATGACAAAATTTAAAGAGAAGATGAAGGCCATGTCTTTAGAAAGTGATTAGAGTTCCAAAAAGTTGGCTATGTATATATAAATGCATTGGGATTTAATGGTGGGTTTGAAAAGGTTTCCAAAGTGAAAGAAGCATATAATGGTTTATCTTTAATCTCAAACAATTTAGCTTGTTGCTTAAGTTTTCTTTACTTCCATGATGTGAAGGATCAAACATAAACCCTTCTTCTGTTACTTTCGTAACCAAAAGGCACACACCTCAGTAAGATATACATAGTTTTTTCAGTTCCCATTAAGAAATTAGTTGTGTTTAGTTAAAAGTTGAAAGCTTTTTGAGTTTGTGATGATATTGAATTTGATCATTTTCCCTTACTTTCTTCGTGATCTAATAGTTTTTATATCGGATCTTTAAATATAAAGAGTAAAAAGTTGAGGATACGTGAGATAAACGTATCGAAAATCATATATATCTATAGAATACCTTGTTCACTAAATCAAATATACTTTCGGATGAAATCTAGATAGCTAGTTTCTGAATCTTACAATCCACTCCTTTGGGGGCCCACCGTCCTCGTTCACACCTTTATAAGAAATGTTTCCTTCCCCTCTCTAATTTATGTGGGATCTCACAATCGAACTCCCTTGGGGGCCCGTCGTCCAACATTCCTCTCTCCAAACGATATGGGATCTCACAATCCACCTCTTATAGGGCCAACGTCTTCGTTGGAATACCACCTGATGTCTTGACTCTGAAACATTTGTAATAATCCAACCCCACTGCTAGTAAATATTATCCGCTTTATCCCATTACGTATCGCCATCAGCCTCATGATTTTAAAACACGTTTGCTAGGAAAGATCTTCACACTCATATAAAGAACGTTTCGTTTCTCTCTTCAATCGATATGAGATCTAACCGTTTCTTAGCATGAACAAAATCCAACATGACAAGTTCTTTTTTCTTGCTTATATCTTAAGAATGGATGGTAGCATAGCCTCTTCTATTTTTCAGTGAAAATAATTGTTGTTAGATGTGTGACCTAAATTCTTGTTTTCAGGTAATGAAATGTATTGATTTTGAGAGCGAGAATCAATGAAGTCTTCTAAACCTCTCCATACCAAAATGTGTTGCCATGTCTAACCACTTGTTTAGTACAGCTCAACCACAAACCCCACATGACTCATTGATGCTCACATTTGTGTGTGTGTGTGTGTGTGTGTATATGTTATATGGGTCATTGAGATATAGCATTGGGCAATGCTGCTTTTGAGAAAAGCTGAAGCGTCCAAAATGTTGAATGAAAAGGTGGTGTGCGCATTTTGATCAAAGTTAATTGTCCCTATGAGCCAACAATTAACACTTCCCACACACCCACTCAAAAGAAGAGAAGCTCTCAGTGTT